CGAATTCTTCCGCAATTGACTAAAGAAATGAAAGTTTTTCTGGATTTTGTTTTGAAATACGTAATCGCTTTTCTTCCTCAGTTACACTGTTACTTTTCATATATAACAGCAGCCATTCCACCATTATTTTTATCATTATTACTATTATTGTCATATCATTAATTTATGTTTCAGTTTCAAGAGTCTTGATTTTTAAACTTTATTCATCTAGTTCATTAATTTTCGTAACTTAATTTATTGACTTTTGAGCTTGAAATTTTTTTGAAACTTATGTATTGTCTTCTTTTTCTTTCTTTACCTATCAGCGATCTTAACTGATCCTCATCAAGCGTTTACAAATGGATGGCTAATTGGAGAGTTTGATGTTTGGACAAATCCCGGTACATGTTTGCCATTAATTAAGCAACACGCTGCATAAATTGTCAGAGGGAACTCTGGTATTTTGTAATTGTTAAATTGAAACATACGATAGGCGACATATATTTCAATTTAACAATTAATTATGTTGCTAGAATTTGTTTTTAAGTTCAACTTTCAGTTTGTACAAATTTTTACTGTTAGCCATCAAAGTCAAAATCAGTAGATTTTGACTTTGATGGCTAACAGTAAAAATTTTTTGAGATTAAAAGAAACGGTTTGGTGTGTTGCTACCAATGCTATCATTTTTGATTAATTGAAAGCGTCATAGAATGTCTACATAGTCGTAGTACTTACCGTTGAACCGTTTCATATTTTAGAAACGGATTAGACTAATTAATTACAAGATTTTTCAAGTGTTAAAAATGGATTCGGAATTTCGAAAGTTCCTACTTCTTTCCCGGTCAGATTTCAAATTGCCTTTACTTTTTACTTTTTAAATTTTCTGTGGAATTGTGTAAATGAATGGCTCAAATCTGTATGTGTGCTATCGTTCATGTCATCATTCTTTTTTCTAGACTTTGTTATGTTTGAAATTATTCAAATGGTTGTTTCAAAATTTATTCATATGCACCATTTTCTGGGAAATTCTTTATTTCAAGCTCATTTTTGAATTTAATAAATGAAGTAAAATTCCTGCGTAGGTTCTTGTTTTATTAATTTAATTTAATCAACTTAGATGAAATGAAACGTATTTCTCTTTATACTCTCGCTGTTCTCATGGCGTGTGGAATATTTGTTATTAACAATAAAACTTAACAAAGAAGGTGTAAATTCATGCCTGAAAACATCGTTGTTTTCGGAATGCATTAATTTAGGTTTTCAGTCGATATTGCAAATTGTTGGTTGCCTAAAAGCTCCTGCAACCAACTATCATGAAGAAGTTCAAGTCTTTTGGGGAAACAAAGACTCATTAAATTTATTTCATTATCATTTCTATCCTCCCTATTAACTTAAAAATATATTGTAAAATGTCACTTTGGGAATACTTTCATCTACTTAGAGGGAAATTGCATATGCCAAGTTTTCAACGTCTTCAAGCCTAACTCTGAAACCAATCATTTTCACTTGTTAATTAATTCTTTTGGTTTCAACTTCAATTGTAGAGTTCGAGCAATTGCTAGAACTCTTTTTTTATTAGAGTTATGATTTCCTTGATTCTTATTTCAGTATTTTTGTTTTATCATTACTCGGAAAATTCTGATGGATCTACAAATGGTTTATTACGATAAATCCGAGTATGTGGAAACAGCTACGGGTAACAAGGTGAATCGGAAATCAAGATTATTCGGTAGTCAGAATATTGTACTGAACGGAAAAGTAAGTTGATGCAAACTGTTCAATATAAATACGCGTGGAATTCTCATAAAAAGTTAATGTAGGGTGCAATCGACAGTTTCTAATTTCCTAAACGTTATGCCTTATCATATTTATATTATCACGTCATTTTTAGCTTAGTTTGATTAGGATGCATTAGAAACACTGTCATTTCATCAAGCTGGTATCACAGTAATTGGTATTGATGCAAACTAATGTAATGAGCTTGATATCTTCGCTTATCATATTCATTAATGAAATAGTGAAAATCCTTCTGATACAAGTTTGTTGTTATTTTAATCTGTCGAAATTTTGACCTATTAGTCGATTTACTTTTTCATTTCTTCTCAATTTCATTTCAGTCAACATTGATGAAAGACTGCATTTTACGTGGTGATATGCATAATATTCGAACCGGTCGATATTGCGTTGTTGGTGAGCGTACAGTCATTCGACCATCCTATAAACGTTTCAGTAAAGGATTGACATTCTTTCCTGTGCATATTGGTGATCATGTATTTATTGGAAATGTTAGTTTCGTTGCACCGATATTTCTTATTATGCGCATATAGATGTGTACAAAAATATGAAGATCTAATGCATATTAGATTAAAAAATTAAAGCATACTCCAACCATCAACGATTGATTATTGTGCTAAAAGTTCAGAATCTTTAATCCTTTCAATTCATTTAATCGTTTTCAAGGATTGTATAGTAATGGCTGCAGAGATTGGAGCATTTGTACATATTGGTAATAATGTAATTATTGGCCGTAGTGTAATAATTAAAAGCTGTGTACAAGTATTGCCAGATACAGTAGTGCCACATGATGCTGTTATTCCACCTTTTTCCATTGTAGGAGGTAATCCAGGTATGTTACTTTGTTATTTAGTTTTTATTTCTTATATGTTTAACAGCGAAGTAACTTTTTAAGGGAAATTTCATTCGATTTTTTAGAATTTGGCTAATTCACAAAAAATTTGGCAGTTTTATTTATGAAATAATTGAAATCGAACAATTTCATTTCTCTTCATTTCTTACAGAAAGATGTTCTTTATATGTATATTGTTGCGTATTGTTACACCATATCATTTCAGGTACCATTATTGGACATTTGCCAGAGTCAACACAAGAATTGATGACACAAGCGACGCGAAATTTTTATGACAATTTTGTGCCAGACTCGAAAAATCCGTCCATTGTTGCATAAGGATTAATATCTTTATGCTTTTTATTAATCACAAACTTTCCACGAAGAATTGGATCTTATCGAGAAGGATAATTTTTTTAGGTTTAAGAAAATTTATCGTAGAATTACTGATATGCAATCTCTTCTCCTCATTCGCTGAATTTTCGATATTGCTGTCTGCATGCTTTGAGAGTTATTTAATCGATAACAATTTATTAATTATTATAAATATTAAAAGGTAACATTCGCATGTTTTTTTTTGCACGACATAGTCGAATAATCCGTATTCATATGGAATTTTTCTGGAACATTTGTTTTTGCGAGATATTGTTTAAAGTTATTGCGAAGAATTGCATAATAAGTCGCAATTTCTTTTCCAGTTTTAATTAATCGAGCAGAAGTTCTCCTAGAATTGAGGAATTGTTTTTCATTACGTTGAAATTCGTCAAGAAATTATACTTAAAATTCTCCCATGGAATATTATTTGAATGAATGAATGCATGAACTGTTATGAATATTCTTATATTTTACGTAACTGTTTTATCCTATGGGCTATTAAAATAAATCGGAACCATATTTTTCCATCGCTTTCCTGAATGCTTTATTATTTTCATTAGTTTTCCATCGTTTTCCTGAATACTTTGTTATTTTCATCGGTTTTGGGGGATGAAATTTATAGAATATAATTTTATAAGTTAATTAATATTGCAGAATCAAACAAATAAGATTCCATATGTATAAATGAATAAGAATTGGATATGTACATAAATGGATAATTCATATGTTAAGTTTGATAGGTATGAAAGCATATCATCATCGGCTTGCACATAAATCATTTAACGTGCACAATGTATTTTGTACAATAAATGTATCACAAATTCGATTCCATTTATTTTAATTCCTTATTTGTTGATATGATATAAAGCTCAATAATTTCTTTTTTATATTAATGAAATTAGAAAAATCAAAAAATTTTCAGTTCATTTCGTTATACAAAATGAATCGAATAAATAAACATGGAAGTTTATAAATTGTGAGCATTTTGATAATTTGTAGTAAAATTAATGATCCATTCTTTTTTTAACTGAAAAAATATAATGTACTAAAATTGATCGTTAAAATAATTAATTGCTAGTGTGAGAAAATTTTATATATAGCCAAGAAACTTTGCAAGAAAATAAAGAAATTGATTTGAAAAGAAAAGACTTCATGAAAAGCGAATAACCTCATCTCATATTAATGGCAAATGTGTTAAATTGAATTTTTAACGAAAATTCAGGGGATTTTTTAAATTTATTTTTTTGACATAATCGAAATAAGTTTAGTTGCTTAATTTTAGGATAGTTTATTTATAGGAATAATTGATTGATACGTGCTATAAATATAACTGTTTCATTTAATGTGAAATGATTATTTGGTTTTAGTACTATAAAGTGTAAAAAAACTGATATCATTTTGGTTGTAGTACTAGTAATTATTTTCATCTTTATAAAAATTAATTTTACGAGTAATTGATTTAATAGATGGTAATTTAATCAATAACAATTTCATACAATGATAAACAAATATCCATTTGTGATCTTTCAAATTGGTGTATTGCCGAAAATCACTTAAATAAATTTATTTCAATTATATTGAATAGAAATGAAATATGTATTAATTTAATTTTAATTATTACTCATAGTCACAACGATTCTTTTCTTTCAATTGCCATTTATATATTAAAAACAAAAGTTGGATGAAAAGTTATTTCCCAAAATTACTATTTGATATTACTTCTTTCTTTCTCTATAATGTAATAGTGAAATTATATATGATATTGTGATTACAGTATAAATTAAAATTAGATTTAGCATATTGAGTAGTTCAATATCTTATGATTTAACCTTTCTTTGTGATCAAAGTATAAATTAAAATTAGATTTAATATTTTGAGTAATTCAATATCTTATGATCAAACATAAATGAGAATTTTGTTTACAGTAATAATAAATGGCAATTGAATAACATTTGTAAAATATTGTGCAATATATTTTACTTTAAATTTAAATTAATTAATAATATACATATAGATGATATTATAATGATAGTAATCGAAGTAAAAATAAAAGTAAAAATGATGGAATGGGAATTATAGACGATAGTAGTAATATTGTATTACTATTATTAACAATATTATTATGATCATTATGATTATCATTATTATTATCGATCCAATCCTGGTTACTTAATTTTTGTTGCAGTTGTTGTTGTTGTTGTTGTTTTTGATTCATTCCCCGTTTCCATTGATCTAATCGTGTTTTTGGTGCTGATTGACTGTAAGTAATAACTGGACTGGTACTACTTGCCTTCAATTGAATATTGCTTGGTTTCACTTTTAAATCATCATTATCCTGTTGTTGATAAATTTTTTGCGCAGTTTGCAAATATGGCATTAAGAAACTTCTTTCAGGAAGCTTAGCTTCAATTGTACCAATAGTTTGAGATGATGAGATCGTTATGGTACTTGTACTAGAAGAAATATTAGGCCTCAGCAGAGAACTAATTTGATTTGGTGGTTTTTTATTATCCAATATAGCAGATTGTAAATGTGAATTTGGAGAATGATCGAAAATAGATTTCATTCCGGAAATAGCATCATAAGTTGAAGTGTTAGGAATAGGTACCGTTTTAGCTATTGTTTCAGTATTTACAAACGTATTAATAGGATCTGCTTCAGGTATTATTTCAGAAGCACGAACTTCATGTTTTCCTTCGAAAGGAGGAATCATATTAATAGGTATTGTTCTATGAACTATATCAGAAATAGGAATAGGTATTGTTTTAGGTAATGCTTCAATGCTACTTGTTTGAGGTACCATCGTAGTGGTAGAAATTGTATCAACCGATATTGTTCCAGCGGATGACAAAGTTGCCGTCATATTTTTCACTAGCAATGATGCTGAAATGGATAAGTTAGTCAAGGATACTCCCGTAGATTTTCTATCTTCGAGTTTTGGAGAATTTGTCGATTGTAATCGATCTGATGAGATATTTCTGAAAAAATCCAATTTCAAATAAATTATCGAATATTTTGAAAATTAAAAAACAACACATAGTTGGGTCAAAATTTGGATAATTAATAAAATAATAGTAATTACCTGAATAAGTATTACTATTCATCATTTAAATATGCATCTTATGACGACTAGCAATTTCTACATATATATATTAAATTACAGTTAGGTATTAAAAATTTCAAATGAATCATTCGATTTGATCAAACTATATAAAACTATAAGTAATTTTGATAAATCATCTTATCTTTATTCCTATCATATTATTCCAACGTTTTTAATATATCATTAATATCACAAAGATTAATTATCCAAATGATATATTATCACAACATATAAGAGATAGAATGGATGTATTATCATATTTGTTTAATGTGTAATTAAAATTTGTTTGAAAATTTTATCATATCAATAACATATGTTAGTTAATTTACTTTAAATTTTCTTTTTAAATTCTATTTCAAATATTATTATTTGATATTTTTAATAATAATTTCAATATAAATGAATGTAGAAATTTAATTCCTAAAAAAAATTTTTGAAAATTTTGATATATTTCATAAATTATTTACAATAATTATTACAATCTTAAATAATAATAATAATTATTATTAATAATAACAATAATTAATAATAGAAATAATAATAATAACAATAATAATAAATAATAGAAATAATAATAACAATAATAATAACAGTAATAAAAAAAAACAATAATAATGACAATAATAACAACAATAACAATAATAATAAATTTTTTGAAAAATTGGTCCATTTCGTAAATTATTTACAATAATTGTTACAATAACAATAAATAATAGAAATAATAACAATAATAATAACAGTAATAATAAAAATAATAATGACAATAATAATAACAATAATAATAACTATAACAATAATAATAACAATAATAATAATAACAGAAATTATTTCATGTTAATCCGTCCCTCTATTTGTTTCAAAAAAATTTCCCAATTTACATATATCAAATTTTTTTCCTTTTCTTTTTTTCTCCCGATACTGTGCGAATCTCTCAGTATACATTTAGCATTCGGATAGGTTTTGTCGATCGTTCGATCGTTATACCATCATCATCATCATCTATCCACAAAAATGCTTTGTGTTCTTCGTAGACATTGTTTAGGCATTTTTCCTTCATCTCTTTTTTTTTTTTCAACACTTCTACAACGATCACGGCTATCTCCAACGGCTTTTATGTAAATTTCTTATCGTTGGATGTAATTTATTTGCTTATCTCAATCATATTAAAACTGTATTTGCCGATCATATATATTTATATGATTTTTTTTTCTTTACTGAAAAAATTATTCAATAAAATGGTGGAAGATTTTACGGAAAAAAGCAAGCAGGTGGAGGAATATCAAAAGAAAATCGAAATTATTGATTAATGATTTTTACCGGAATAATATTTAATACAGATTATTGAATAATGATTTTTACCGGAAGAATATTTAACAACCGATTAAAAATTTCTCGGAAAAATCCGGTTGAAATTGGATAGGAAAAAATAAGTTAACAATAATTGACTAAAAAGGTAACATAAAGGTGAAATATTCCATCATAAAGAGCAGGTAGAAAGGAATATCAAAGGAAATAGAAATTATTGAATAATGATTTTTACCGGAAGAATGTTTAACAACCGGTTGAAATTTCTCAGAGAAATCCGGTTGAAATTGGATAGAACAAAATAAGCTAACAATAATTGACTAAAAAGGTAACATAAAGGTGAATTATTCCATCATATTATTATTTATTTGCATAAATATTAATTTGATGTAAAAGAATTAAAATGAAAGATTAAAATTTTAATTTCAAAAACAAAAAGAAAATTAAAATTCGCTTATAAAAAATGCAATGATATATGAAAAGTGTTAATTGATGAATCTAAATTTTAATTTAAAACTGCAATATCTCTAAGCAATTAAAAATCTGAGCTATTAATTAATTGAAAAGAGCCAATAGAATGATTTTGAAATTTTTTAAATTAATTAATGAATCATTGTCTCTGTGATATGTATTTGTGTGTTTAAAGTACGTACAAAAGCTTGCTTGAAAAATATCAATTACACTATCTATACGTTATGATTCATACAACATGACGTATACTGCCTAATTTCCATTCTAATATATTCTCAAAACATTGCATACCTTTTCAAAAAAAATACAACAAGGAATTTTTAAATGATATACCATGTGATATTTACATATTTACATTTATTTACATATTTACATATAGTTTATTTACACGTAAATTATTACTAAATTATGCGTGTACTACTTACATGTACTTTATGGTAGTATTACTATTCAAATTCAAAATATTTTTCTACATATTTACATATAATTTATTTACACAGCATTTACACGTAAATTGTACTGAATTATATGTGTACTATTTACGTGTACTTTATGGTAGCATTACTTTTATTCAAATTCAAAATATTTTTCTACATATTTACATATAATTTATTTACACAGCATTTACACGTAAATTAATCTAAATTATACGTGTACTACTTACGTATATTTTATAGAAGTATAGTATTACTTTTATTCAAATTCAAAATTTTTTTCAATAATTAAAAGATGTTTTGTGATGATTAAAAATTTGTAATTAAATATGAAATTTACGATCGCTACAGTTGAATGAATACCTCAGAGTAAACATATTACGATAGCAAGATATTGAATTGGATGTAATTGAAAATAAATGAAATATCATAATTGTAATTAAATATGAAATTTACGATTGCTACAGTTGAATAACTCAGAGTAAACATATTACGATAATAAGATATTGAATTGGATGTAATTGAAAATAAATGAAATATCATAATTGTAATTAAATATAAAATTAACGATTGCTACAGTTGAATAACTCAGAGTAAACATATTACGATAATAAGATATTGAATTGGATATAATTGAAAATAAATATCATAATTCAACTCGTTATTTTTGAATATTAAAATTAATGGTACTTTCTTTTTTTTTTATTTCGCAAATGATAATTTATAACTAACGTTGTTGCAATAGGATTATCCGGGATTGCTATCACCTGCCAATGAAATCCATCATCACTGAAAACGAAAAATTGTGAGAAAATTTTTTCGTTTATCAATTTTTAAAATTTACATATATTTGAAATGGATAAATGAATGAACGAAAATTAGAATATGAAATTAATTTTTCTTCATTTCATTTCAACTTCCTTCATTTCGTTCGAAGTTCATCGTAATAAATGAATTCTCGATTATTAACAGCTAAATGCAATGTTATATGATAATTGATTTATTACGATATGAATGTTAAAAGTATAAACAAATATTGAATCATTAAGGATAGTGATGATTATATTGCATTTGATTAATTTGCATAAATTAGCATTTCATTCATATTAATGTAGAAAATTGATAAGCCATTTTAAATTAGAAAAAATTTCAAATTACCACTATAAACAAACATATATAATATATATTTCTTTCTTATCCTAAATTCGAAATGAAATTTTAATGGAAATTTTCTTATTAAAATTACATTATTAAAAAGATTATAATATATAGAAAATAAAATCAAAATTAAAAATAAATCAAAATCTAAGGAATTATTATTATTATTATTATTATTATTATTACTATTATTATTGTTATT